GTCTTCCCGCAGGTCTCTTTCAAGATTCTTCCCACCTTCAATCTGCTGTCCTCTCACCTAATAATCTTTTCCTGGTCTTTCAACAGCTCAGAGACCACTCCTTCAAGTGTGAGCCCACGGTCACTTCCTCCTGGGGCTCCTGTCCAATTGGTCACAAGCAGCATTATCTCCTTCCCAAAGCCAGGCGGGCAGTGCTGGCACCTCACTTAGCATTTCGCGTGGTCTTTTATCGATTAAATGTCAAGCTGCTTGTTAACTTGTCCATCTTCTGCCACTGTTTAAGATCTAAAATAATAGGAACCCTTTCTTGTTCATATTAACTTTTAAGTTGGTGTTTAAAATAGATGCTCACCAAATATTTATGGGGTGGATGAGTGATGCTATGAATAGTTTTAGTATTATGATCTCTATTTTAGAATTTAGATTTACTAGAGTTTGGTCTCTTATCCAATAATGTGTTGCTGGACCATGACTCACTCAGGTTACCTGCCAGGGCTTAAGGATTAATTCTGAGAATGGCTAAGGGAAATCAGCTTAGGAACCAGCTCACTACCCTCACTACTTGTTGTGTAAACACCAGAAAGGTTGCTTCTTTGGGTACTTGGCATCTTGAAGAAAAACACAGTCCCTACTTTGGATGATTCATGGGAGATGGTACAGGGGAGTGACAAAGCAGCTGGCTGGCCTTTCGGGCAGAGGACCTTTAGCTGTGTCACGGTGTGTAACGCCTTACCAATGGAGGCTCCGGAGGAGCAGCTGGGCAACTGCATGAGGGAGTGGCGACTGGCTGTGCCCTGAAACTGTGTGGATAGAGATGGAAAGGACGAGGCCACCTGGGGCCGTGGGTGGGAGGCAGGAGAACTTAGAAGGACAGGGCATGTGCTCGAGGGAGAAAACCAGGTGCTATAAACAGGGTGTCTTGGTTACTTTCCTCTTGTTGCTGGGACAAAATACCTGATGCCCCAAATTAAGGATAGGAAAGGTTTATTTCGCTTACAGTTGGTGGAGGTTTCAGCCCATACTTGGCAGGTTACAAGGCACAGTGGCACATGGCAGAGGACTACAGCTCATGGTGGCAGAACACAGCAAAAGCAGCAAGCACACAAGGGAGGAATGGCTGCAAGCAGCCTCTTCCTCTCCCTTACATATGCAAACTATCCACCCCAGGGCGGGTGTAGCTCTCACATCCATAATCAGTCAAACTCTAAAAGCCTGCCCCATGACTGCATGAGGCTTTGGGGGGGCCACCCAGACACAAACCATAACACAGGATTACTCCAGAAATGCGTATATCTAAGCAGTCAATTAGGGTTTGGGTCAAGACTTCCTTGAAGGGCTGGAAAAAACTGGCATCATTAATACTTGACTTAGGAAATGAAATTAATCAAATCGTTACAGCCTAATTTCACACATATATATATATACATACACACACACACACACACACATACACACACATACATATAGCCTAATTATCTTTATTGGTCATTATGGAAACATTTAAAAAATAACAAACTTCTCTGGGATCCAGATCTAGGCACAGCACGTCATGCATCTAATAGACACCAGGTCACAATAAATAGCATACAAACACTTATGACATCACAGACAAAACAAGCTTTTTTGAGGAATCGGAGGGGTGTTCGTTTCCTACCTGAAAACACATGTGCTGCAGACTGATGAGATCTACTGTGTTATTTCATCCTTTGCACTTATGAAACTCTGATCTTGTCTGGACCCAGTGGTTTGAACTTTGCTCCAAACAGTGGAGAAGCCACCGTTGTCTCTCTATGACCCAAACAACCATGTCTCTAAATTTCTGGTGTGCCAAAATTACATTTTTACTGGTGCATTTTTATTCAATGTTATGACCATATTTTGAGCACCTGACAAATGTCAATTATCCAGCTAACCATCCACTATACAAAGATAAGTAGGAACTCACAGCCAGATCAAAGCATAGTTATCAAATAAATCACATCTACTTATTCTCAACCTGTTCATTTTCTGTCTCAAAGTAGTCAGACCTGATTTCTTGCAGGTTACTCTTCTGAGTACACACTGAATTTACATTTATTATGAATTCAATCAGCTTTTCTAGAGTGAAAGCAAGCTTTGCCGGGCTGTGGGTCCTCAGTAGTTTCTGAAGTTCTTGTGGGTTGATATCAGGGCCTCTGCAGTGGGCTCCAACCTCCCGCCAGGTATTGCAGCACACAGTGGAAAGAGCAAGAGAGAAATCTGCATGCGGTGGAGATCCGGGACGGCCAGCTGTTCACGGGAGCAAAAGGCCACGAGGCAGCCAGCACTCGGTATTTAGTGATCGAGGAAAATGGGGAGGGGATTATCGGATGACTCGGGCAAGAATGGTCTTATGCTAAGGAGGACCTTGCCCGGGAGCGGTCTTTCATCTTAGTTTTGGGTTTAGTCTTAGTGGGTGGGAGAGGATGGCCCATCCCTAAAGAGATGATGTGAAATCTCAAAAGGGAGATACCAATACTCCCAGGCCACTGTGGGCCCCTTAGGGAAGTATGTAAAACTAACCGTTGTGAATTTGTGGTCCCCAACAGATTGCAGCAACGTTTGAGTTTCAGTGGCTTCCTGCACGATACATAGTCTAGTTCAGGGTGTGACTCAACTGATGATTTTTCAATGGCATAAAGAAGACACATTTCTTTCTTTTTTTCTTTTTTTTCTTTTTTTGTACCAGGAATCGAACTCAGGACCTTGCACTTGCCAGGCAGGCGCTTTTGCCGCTGAGCTATATCCCTGGCAAGCTATATCCCTGGCAAGCTATATCCTCCCATGAACATTTTTTTTCAAATGTGGAAAAGTTATTCATTGGTGCAGACAAATATTTGTTACTAACATTAATATTATAAAAGTCAAAGAAGGCATACCTTAAATGACTTTCAAGTATTAAAGAAAATATTAAAAGCATTAAGCAAAACAAATATAAAATACTATATAATACACTACCCAGTTACAATATATGTGTACATGATTTTACAATTCATTTCTAAAGCAGAATTCATCAATATTAATGATGGTTTTGTTTTTAAAATTTACATATTTATTAAGGTAAAAAAGATCTATCTTGAACAAGATCTTGCCCACTAAGCAAAATAAGAGAAAAAGAAACCATGAACAAGGGAGGTGAAGAAAAAACATTGTGTTTTAATGTACATAATAGGCTGATGCGTATAATGAAGTCAGCTCTGACAGGTGTAGTCAGTGGCAGAGAGAATGCAAGGAAAGAGGATGACAATTTGTGCCCAAAGCATTTACCAAGTTGTTGGGAGTCCTTTAGTGTCTGCCAAGGGAGGAAACACTGGGATGAGCCCTGTGAACAGAGAGTTAAGCCCTCGTTAGATATTCTTGAGCTGAGTTTTACCCATATATTGGTTTTATGGACTATTTCTCCCAAGAACTGCTTTTCCTGCTTCCCTGCTACTTCTTGGGACTCCAGAAAGGATGGCGTGCAGGAGCCCAGCAGGCCGCGTGTCCTTTTCACTGTGGCCGTGGGCGGGTTCTGCTTTGGTTCTGCTGTCTGTGTCCTTTCCAGGGCATGCCCACATGGGGCTGTCAATTAGAGCAGGAGGAGCTGGGTCCCCCTTTCATCACCTAAACATTAAGTAAGCAGATGTATTGCTCCAGCAGGGTGGTCTCTCCAAATCCTTCATTTACCTTCCTGAAGGGACGGTCTGCCTGTTGAGCTGTGCCTGGGCTTAATTGTACCTTTGAAAGTCCTGTTCGCCCCACAAACACCCACTGCCTGTCGTCCCTGTGAACGTCTCTGTGATGCCCCGCCCCCTTCTCCCTGGCCGCACTGCTTCCTCTCTGTTCTCTGATCTCACAGCATTGATGTCTGGATTACTCATCAGTTAGTGATCTAAGTCATAAGAAGCGGCAGGCTAAGGAAGCCGTTCGGGGGCTAAAACGGGAAGCTGAAGACCCGTACAACGTGGGTATGAGAAGGGGTGAGCAGACGAGGGAGAGAGAAAAGAGGAGAGGGGAGTCAGGGCAGAAAATCCAAAACTTCTTTAAATAATTACACGGGTTGCAGGACTGGAGGGAGGGTGTGCATCTTGCTGTAGAAAGTTCAACTGACTTCTTTAACTAGCTTTAAGAGGCCAGATTTTAGTGAGTTTTAGTTCATTATTTTTGTTGTCACAAAGCACTCAGCACCAACAACCAATTTAGTAAACATTCAATAAATCTTTCCTTGTGAATACACGAATGAATAAATCAACCCTTCCACATGTTCACAAAAGAATTCTTGTCATTCAGGATAACTGCAGGCAAGGCCAATCCAGTACTTTTGGGAAGCTCAAGTCTTCAGCTTGGCTCATTTGGGGAATATTTTTCATAGAATGATGAGCATTAGAACTTGAATGGAAGTTCACACAATCCTTCCATTCTCACACTAAGCCTCTTAGGACTAGGGACGGGTGATACTTATGATGTACACGGTAAGCCACAGCCTGACGTAGGTCTCAGTGGTAAAATCCTGAAGGGTAACGTAATCAAGGAAAGATTTTTATGTTTTAATAAAAATTAAAAGTCATAAGTATTACTTTGGTGTGTATAAAAGACCTTGTGTATAAGAGAACTTTCTACATCCTGAGATATAAAGACATCAAGAAGTCCATCACCAGACAGGTTATCTTCTGTTTCTTATGCAAACAAACAGCGGAGGGCCTGGGAGCAACTGATGAGACAGGCAAGACCCTGGATGCCGCCCTTTGAGCTGTCGTACTGTCATGGTTTTCCCTGGAGCTGTCTGGGACTGAGAGAAGGCAGGTGTTACAGACGCATCTGAGAAATGGAGAAGAGACAAGCCTGGAAGGAGTCCCTTCTGCTGATGGCAGGGAGAGTCTTGCCGAGTATCTTTTTCTAACTGTTCTCCTAGGGTGTAATCAGTGTCAGGTTCTTGCAGGTGTTTACGGAGGACCCACGCTTGTCCAGTTGAGAGGCTTCTACCCTGGCATTCTCTTCTCTTAGGTCCTGTGCACCTAGGTGGGTGAGGAGACGCGAGGAGGAGGAGGTGGCAGCCGTACTGAAGATCCTCAGGAGCTAAGGGAAGGTCAGTCAGCCACCTGAGGGGCCATGTTCACCTTATGAACAGGAAGGGAATTGTCTCTGAAGGGCGCTCAGAGCTCTGAGTATTGGTCACAGCAAGGCTGAGCAAACAAGGGTTAATGACAGGCTAGGACACACGGTATGCAATGCCAGAGCTCTGGAAAGCTGGCTCTGAAAATTAGGCCCCTGGAAGTATTAGAAGAAATACCCAACCGAGTCACAGCACTGTGGTTCTGTCTCAGACAAACTCACTGTTGCTGGCACCGCACGGGCACTAAATCTTAAAATATTGCGCCAGGCACTAGGATTTCTGCAGCAGCTCCCCTGAAGGACCGCAGGTCTCTGCCCAGAAGAGGAACCTGTCTTCCTGCGTGGCTGCTCTCCGCCGCTGCTCTGGCTTCCCCTGGTGGGCTCAGAGCCAGGGCTTGTCCACCACTGTATCTGCGAACGAACAGAGGGGCACCTGTTCGCGCTCACCCTGCCTGGTGTGGGGCGCTCAAAAAGGATGCCTGGTGCAGCTGAGCAAGTAAAGCTCCGGCATCTGCCACACATTTAAAGAAAGAAAGTTGGCATTTAGTTATCGCAATAATCAGAGAAAGCCAGCGGCAAATCACAATACTCCCGTGTAATAAGACAAGGAAGAGCCTTCGGTTGTCGCCGTCTAACGGTATTACAACTGGGCTGGAGAAGACACTCAGCGCGACCCTTTCATATTTTCTGTCCCTGTTTTATGACAGAGCGTACGGTCTAGCTTGGTGAATGCTGCGTTTGCACTTGGGAAGAATGCGATTCTGCTGCTGCACGGCAGGGTGTGCGGAGTCGCTAAAACTGGATCACAGAGTTTCTTTTCTTTTTCTCTTTTTCCTTTCTTTTTTGTCTTTTTGAGACAGGGTCTAGAGCTCACCTTGTAGCCCGGGCTAGTCTCGAACTTGCAATGATCCTCTTGCCTCAGCCTCCCGAGTGCTGGGATTCCAGGCGTGCACCACTGCGCCCGGTTCCACAGTTATTTTCTGTCCTGTGGCTTACTCTCTACTCCCTCTGTCATTTACTGAAATCCTCAGATGTGTCCCTACAGGCCTTCCTGCTCCCAGCTGGTCCCATCAGAATCTTCCACGTACTTGAAGCTCTCGTTAAAGTAGAAGCCTTCGGGATTATATGTCTTCCAGAGGAACTGACATCTTTGTTGTTTCTAAATGTCTCTATCATTAGTGATATTTCTTGATTTAATGTTTGTTTTGTCTGATTGTAATACAGCTAATCCAGTTGTTTTTGCACTCTGTACATTTTTTGAATCACTTAACTTTTAACCTGTGTGTATATTTAGAGGGCAAAATAAATTTTGTATCTCCACTTGAAATGTTGATAAATAGTTATACATTTATAATTGTATACATTCATGTATGGATACATGAATTCTATCACTTACTCTAAAAGTGCTAAGATACTGTATCTATCTCTTCCTCCAATTGAACATTTTATGGATTTTGAGTATTGAACATGCTTTTTATAGTTAGTGTAATTGGTTAAGTTTAAAACTATTTGCTTTCTATGTTCCTTATGCTCTTTTCTCTTATTTTTCTCTTTTCCTGAACTCTCTTGTAGATTAACTTAAATTATTTTAATACTTCACTTTATTGTTACTATTGGCTTATTACTGACTTATTTTATTGCTTTATATTGTTTTAGGAATTGCTTTAGGGTTTACAATATGCATTTCAATTTAATCCAGTTTCTAGTAATATCATGTCACTGACATATAATGTAAGAATTTTACAACAACATAAATAATTTCCTGTTGTCACATAATGTAACTCTGCATAAAAGTTCTACAAAATAGTCCTTTTTTATTTTAAAGACTAATTTATCTTTTGTTTAAAAACTTTCTATTTTGAACTAATTTTGGACTTACAAAAATGTTTCTAAAATAGGGGCTGGGGATTTAGCTCAGTGGCACAGTGCTTGCCTGATGAGCACAAGGTCGTGAGTTTGATTCCCGGTACCAGAAAACAAAAAACAAAAAACAAAACAAAAATGTTTCTAAAATAGTACAAATATTTTTTATCTACTTCTTTCTCAATTTCTGTAATATTAAAATCCTACATGAAATAGCAATTTTCCACAACAGACTTAACATTTGTGTGAATCTTTACCAAACTACAAATTTTAAAATCTACTAGTTTTCAAAATATTCAATATTGACATATTTTGATAATTTCTGGTGTTTTTATATTCCTTTGCATAGACACAAATTTTTACTTAAGGCTTTTTCTGTTCAAAAGTTTCTCATAGTATAAAACTGACAGTAGTGAACTTTCTTAGCTTTTCTTCATCAGAAATTATTTAAAAATTTTCAAAGTTCATTTTAAAGGCTATTTCCATTAGACGTAAAATTCTATATTGATAGATTTTTCTTCAGATCTGTGTATGATGTCATTCCATTTTCTTCTGATTTGTGTATTAATGTTACTTTTGCATGAAGTCTACGATCACTTTTCTTCTGGTTGGCAAAGTGTTTTTCTTCTAAGTACTTTAAGAGCTTCTCTACCACTGGCTCCCACCATGTAATCACGATGTGTGGGGTCCTTGTTTCTTTCTGATTATCATATTCCGGGTTTACTTGGTTTCTTAATTCTAAAAGTATAGTTTCTATGGAATATGGAACACTGTAGCCATGATTTCTTCAAATAAATTTCCTGACTTTTTAAATCAGCATTTATTTTTGTAGGACTTGAAATATCAACTAATAATTTCTCACTTAGGTTACTGAAACATTGTTTTATTTTTTAGTGTTTATCCCTGTTCTTTATTTTGTATATTTTTAATGAGAGCTTGGAATTCACTGATGTTTCTGCAGTGTTTTATTAGTTATTCATCTAATTTCAAAAGCTTTTCGTTTTAGCTACTATACTTTTCAAATCTAGAAATTCAGTGGAATTGTTTTCATGTATTCATTTTTTTTTCTATTTTACTAATGCTTTCCTTTGTCTATTTTACTAATTCCCTCCTGTCATACATTGTCCCTTTTACTTTTACATGTGACTATACTGACTGGTAGATGCAAATCTCATTTTATATTTTTTCCTGTCTTTTTACATATCTATTGATTGTATTTAATGCTTTGCCTTGTAAATTGCTGGGCTTTCTTGTCTTCTAAAGAGTTTAAGCCGGGCGTGGTGGCACACGCCAATAATCCCAGCACTCGGGAGGCTGAGGCAGGAGGATCCTTGCAAGTTCAAGACCAGCCTGGGCTACAAAGTGAGAGCACAGCCAACCTGAATGACATAGCAAGACCCTGTCTTAAAAAGACAAAAAAAAAAAAAAAAAAAAGTTTACGCTCTGTTCTGGAGGACGATGTTGTGCAGATGAGTGTCATCTCGGTTTGTTTGTAGACCACACTTGGAGTACCTGCTGCAGAGACTGTTTGCTCTCACTGCTGAGCGGAGCCCTGCGCACCTCTGCGGCTTATCTCAGGGTGTAGCACAAATTCTGTTCTGCTGAGGAGAACTTGAATTGCTTAGCCTGCACTGTCCTCTCATTATCTGTTCTGTCTCATTTAATTTCATATTGCATATCCACAAATGGGTATCTGAGAAGGCCGACTCCAAAGCAGCATTCTGGCACACTTCCCCGAGTGACCGGCTCGCCCAAGCTGTGCTCTAATGTACCTCTGCCCCCCAAACTTCTCTCGGAGTACGCCTGCTTCCTCGGCCTTTCAGAAAATACTGTGTTTGCTCTATTCTCTTACAAAGCTAAATCCTGCAGTGAATGCAAGACACTATCCATGTTTAAAAATCTTTGTTTCACCATTGTGGAATAGTTTGACATTATTTTACCCTGAGGAGTTTATCTGTCTCCAGTTATTCTGTGATAGCCTGACATGGCAGTCTTTTGGAAGACTTTGTGCCAGAATTAACATGAATATATTGTCATTCACACTGCTCTGTGGAGAACAAAATATTGTGGATCATGACTGATACAGAGATCGTTTAGAAGTCTGTTAAAATCATCCTCGGGCAGTGCTGGTGAACCTATAGTATGTGTGCTATTGTGTTTTTCTTTTGAGGAGAAAGATGTTAGTGCCTGAATTGTTTTATCTCAACTAAAGCCTCATTTGCCATGTGGGCACTTTGCGACAAGTGGGCTTTGGGTTGCAGTGCAGTCACTCGTCTCTGAAAGCGGCACCATCCCTGACCTAGAGTGTGGCAATGACTGTAGGGGCTAGCGTGTTTCCAGTGTATTTTAAAGAAGTGATTGGCTGGTTTAGGGTGTACTCCTGAGACAGGGTGGTCACTTGCTGAGGACTGGGTGTGGTGAGGGTTAGTGACACGAAGCAAGAGACGCCTCAAGAATGATCTTGCAGTGCTTCTTCAACTAATTAAATGAGGGTGCAAGAATAGAGCAGGTTTTAAGGGATAGAGAAGAATGACTGAAGAGTTTCTTTTTTGGGCAAATTAATCTTATTACGTCTACCATAAATCCAAAGCAGATATTCAGGCTAGGAATTTTGAAGCCAAAATTGTTTACAAGCAAGAAGTTAATGGTTTTGGAGACTTTGATAAATTAATATTCTTTGTGAATTTTCAAGTACGGGATAAAATATCCCGTGCTCTCCAATACGTGGTCAGAACCATTTTTCTGAGGAGCAGCGTGTGCATGCGTCTTCTGTAGAATGTATTTTAGCAGTTTTGCCCAGGGCAGAGTGAAGCTAGGGACTGTTCTAAGCGGGGGTGCCACGCCGATGAGGATGGTTCACAGAGGTTATTTTAGCGGGAACAAAGCTTGATGGGAAAGAGGCTGGAGGCTTAGAGAGCAGATGGCAGCCTGCTGGTGTCGGCACTGCAGGGTTTGGGGCTCACGGCCCAAGTGAAGGGTGATGGTGGGAATTAAGATGGATATGTAGCTGTGAGAGGGTGAAGGACAGAAAATTACCAGAAATAATACTCGATTTCTTCAGACATGTGTTACCCAGGTGAGGCCATGGGACCGTAGAAAGTGCAAAGGAGA